TTTTTTGTGACACACAACTGTTTCAGCCACGATCGTGTTCAATTGCGCGGGCGGAATTGCAGTGGGAAACCGCACCATATGCCCGGTTCGACTGGGGTGCCATTAGAAAATAATAGCACCGCCAGCGCGATCGGCAGTGGTGGGTGACTCTGTGACTGCACGGCAATCCACGCGGTATCGTCCACTATTGCCGCGCAGTCACGGATCACCCAGATGTGAACCTGGCCTCAGGAAAGCATATGTAAAAGAACTATCGATATCCATAAATAAAAGCAACATAAGCTCACATGTGTCAATGTACCAATCCAAAATAGTAGACACAAAAAGAGTAACAAAAGAAGGAGCGAGCTAAATTCTAATGTGATTTTCTTTAAATGGAACCCCAGTTATTCCAAAATCGAATGTTAGAGGGGAATTGTAAAAACTAACCCTTGCAGTCGGGCTACCCCTGAACGGCAAGGGTTAACTACTTGTTTTGGTCTAGGGGGCTAAAATAAAGTAAAAATACTCACCTAATCCTTCGTCCCACCTGGCTGCTAGACTGATCCCCGTAGCCTGTTCTCCCCCCAGGATCCGGTGGTCTAAGTACCTGTGACATCATCACATCTAATGCAGGTGCATTAGACGTGATGATGCCAGGCGACAGGCGGTGGAGGGGGAGCTGAGCGCTGACTGTCACAGAACAGTGCGTATATTTTCTTTATTCCGGCCCTTAGAGAAAACTGAGCAGTTAACCCCCACACTGTAAGAGTTAGATTTTACAATTCTTAGAGGTCCTCTTTAAAATCAAACAGAATTTTAAATTACATTGTACAAGTCTCTGATGGCATTATGGAATGTTCTAACTGGATTGTTTTATCTGACTTTTGTTTGAAAATCTATTTAGTGGGGTACATGATTTACCCTAATATACTATGTACCGATAGTGAAGGGGCATCAGGGCAGTAAATGCATTACTCCCGTAGAGGACCCAGGGATAAGTCTGTCAAAATGAGCCATAACTATCCAGAGTTTCCAACATTTGTCATGCAAGGAAACCGATAAGTAGCAGAGTAGATAAGAAGGGATTGAGCTGCTGCTTAGACAGGAGAGTTTACAGCATATAAAAGGAATAGCTGATAACAGTTTATTAGGTAGTCAGATTCTACATATAGTCCTGCCTTGATGTGCAAGTGGAAGTTTCATTAGAATATACGTAAATTAGAGCTCAATATAAATATGATTAATGCAATTGTGAATTTTACAGAGCTTGTTATTTTTAAACATCCTAAAGTGGAACTGTATGACAACATGTTTACAAGAGAAGAAGCCAGATACAAAAATCTTCTTAAGCAGGATTACGTGTACCACAAAAGTAACCCAGTCTCAGCTCAGACATCTCTGCACGAACCTGTCCCTGGACCTATGTCCTCAAATGACTGCACCATTATAACTTTATTGGGCTTCCTTATCTCCTGCCCAGCCCATTGATGATGGACCTTTCAGAACACTTGGGGAGTTGACACTATCAGGGACTCAGGACAGCTCTTTTGATATGCTTTCTAAATGGAAAAGCTTTGTCAGATCAACAGAAATGACACTGACATTCACCCTCCTCCCCCAAAAAATCATAATGGAATTTCCCTGTAATAGAAGGGGTGTTATACTCACCTTTCCTGTTTGCAGAAATTGTTTGTTTGTGTCGTCTTCTTTTAATTTGGTTAGTTTAATATATGTGATATATTGCGGACTTTTGAGAACAATTATTTAAGTACTTGGCATGTTTTAAGATGTTGGACACTTTATATTCACAACACATCTACATGGAATGGGACACCCTCAATTTGTGCCACTAGCCTGCTTCCATTCATCATTGGATCTACAATATTGGCTCTTTAGCATCTCAGAATATAGGAAAACTCTGCAATCCAAGTAAATATGGATGTATAGTGTAAAGTGTAAACCATACTCTGCTGAAGAAGGCTGCAAGCACTTAGACTAAAAGCAAAATCAATGATATATAATTGGATATAAACCAGAATAAATCTGAATAGACAGAGAGTGCCGATAGAAATACAAGTTTAAGGGGTTTAAGAAACAATCTGCAGCATCATTCACCCTGATCTGCACCCATCATTCACCCTGAACATCTCTGTGAACATTTGTTCTGTGCAAATAGAGGCAAAAACTAACATTGCTAGCATATTTTCTTTTTGGGTGAAATGTAATGTAGCCCTGCTTTATGGCCACTAAATGGAGCTGAGGAGCATATGAAGTAATTATACATTTGATCTAAAAGGAAAATATCTTAAAGGAGAACTATGGGGTCAGTGTTTTTACCCATAGTTCTCCCCAGGGTCACGGGAGGACACAAACTAGCGTCCTCCCGTTACCCAAAGCTCAGTATACCGCGAGCTACTGCTCGCGGTATACTGAGACTGCCGCAGCCGGGACGGATGCCGACATTACTGTATGGATCCACCCAGCTGCGTGAGTGACAGCTTGCTCTACCTATCTAGAGGCAGAGCCAGCTGTACCCGCCCCCTCCCCTGTCCGTTCCTCCAGTCAGCGCTGGAGGATCGGACAGGGGAGGGGGATCCCTGCAGGGAGCCATGAGTGACAGTCACAGCTCTCTGCAGGGACAGGATCGAAAAGTGAGCGAGCGCCGGTATGTGTTTGCTCACTTCCCGATCTATTGAGCCGACGTGTGACAGTTTCATTGTCACACGTCGGCTCGAACTATGAGGATGAGTGATTTTCACTCACCTCATAGTTCTCCTTTAACAATATTCTTTTTTTGCCTCTATTCTCACAGAACAAATGTTCACAGATATTCACAGGGCGAATGACTCTGCGAATTGTTTATAAGTAGACCCCAGAGTGTATGTATGGCTTTGTTGGGCTTTGGATAGCGTAGGAAGAATTAAAACCCCTGGGACGTTTATTGCTGTCTGATTCCCAACAGGGGAGAGTCTTTCTCTTTATTTCTCCTGGTGATCATCGTCACCAAGACGGAAAGCAAAGCATTATCCAAAATTGTACAACAGAACAAGAAGTAAGGGTAAATCTTCCTGTGACCACTGAAAAATATGGGATTCCCTTCACTTGGGAGAGGTATCCTCTCACTTCCTCAATGAAGGGAAGTGAAGGGGAATCTCTCCGATCGGGCACAGAAAGCAAAAATTAAACTAATAGGGGTTTCAACCATTCTCAATCGTATACAAAACTATAAAGATACGTTTTGGCTAGAAATATGCCTTAAAGGGGCAGTCCACATAATGTGGACAGTAATGGATAATCATATTTGGATTGGGTTCACAATCTCTGTTGACACTGAATTTTTGAACCTGAGAATTCAGACCTACCCAACTGCCAAGAACATTTCATCTACTCTTCTTGTTGGATATTTTATTTTACATTAAAGGCCCATTCAGACTAAGCATTTAGGTAACGCCACTGTCAATACATTAGGGCAGCCCACTGATTTTGAATGGGCTGGCAGTGGACCTTAACATGCCATAAATCGGAAATGCATTTTTAATACAGCGCACTGCAAACAATGCCATGTGGCGGTTGTGGCGCAACTGCAGTGCATTGCCTATTGTCTGCTACTGTGCAGTGCGTTGGGGTACTATTCAAACACACCGCATCACGTTGCATGCATTGCTGTGCCTTGTGGTAAAATGGGAGTTTTACTGTGTGTTACTGTAATGGGACTATATGTGTGGGCCCTCAGGAAAATGCAGCAGGGCAAGGCTGTCCCTATAATGAGCCTGCTGCCTCCTTTCAAGCCAGAGCATACCAGGTTGCTGAGAGCTTTTTAGCAACCAGTGACGCCAAGGCTGGCACCCCGCCCAGCTCCTGGCAACCAGTGACGCCAGTAAGCTGGGTAGGAGGTGGGTCAGAGATGGAAGTGCCCCCGGTAAAGTGCACTATGCACCACTAGCACCCCCCTGGTAACGTCCAGTGGCATGTGTATCCCAAGTGTGTTGCAGGCGCTCCCATTAAGCTCTTTGGTGTCAAAAAATGCACAATTCTGCCCCAAAAGAAGCTCATGTACTTTTTTATGTGACGGGCAACACAACGGTCAGGTGTGGCTCATTAAGAATAATGGGAATTGTGATCTTGAGCACTGTCACACTTCTGGAATCAGTGTCAGCAGTTGCGTCGCAGCCATTCCCTGTCCCTTTGTGATGTATTGCTGCAGGGCAGGGAATGGGTCTCTCCGCAACTGATTGGGTCGTTAAGAGGGGATAGCATCAGAGTTTTGAGTGGTTTGGGCTAACTTAGTTTGCACTAAGCCTAGACTCATCAGTAATTGGTAACCGAACAGCAACTGCAGCCAATCAGCTGGTAGTCTGACAACTGCAAGCACTGGCTGTCAGAATACAATAGCCAGCATGGGAGTTTCCCCCATCCGCACTCTGCACTATAGAGCAGAAGTGAGCAATTCCAGCCCCCAGCTGTGCTTTAACCTCAAATTCCAACATGCCTTTGTCTCTGGGAGTCATACCTGTAACTGTCAATCTTGCAATGCTTCATGGGACTTGTAGTTCCACAACTGGAGGTCTGCCCATCTGGAGCAGTTATGCATGGCAATCAATCAGCTTCTATCTTTTATTTTCAAAGCTTAACGGAACAAATTAATGAGAGAAGCTGATTGGTTTCTGTGCACAGCTGCTGCAGTTTCAGTGAATTCCCCCTGCTGAGTGTAAGGGCAGCTTTAGGAAAGGTCTCATCTTTGAACAGTCATGCATTTGCATTGTCCTAGGTTGACATACTCACAGTATATATGAACTCTTCCAGCACAGTGGGAAGCAGTAATGACACATTGCTGAGCAGTAGTGTCTGACCCCATAGTTGTAGTGTTGTACAGCTCTGTGTGTGTGATGAGGCAGACGCAGCTTAGCTGAACTATACATACAGAGGAGTCAGACTAGTGTTGTGTTCGTGTCACTGAGCTCATTACTGCCCCCTCTGGCCGCTGGCTGTATGTGTGCTCCTCCTGTGTGTGTGCTGCCTGTTCTCCGGACTGCGCTCGGCTCCAGCTCCTCTCTGTGACTCAGCCATGGCATCGGGCAACAGGGGATTGGAAAGGGACGACGATCTTCCATTTTACTTAGCTCGCCCTGGCACCGCTGACCAAGTGCCCCGAGTGAAGTATGGAGGGATGTTCTCCAACGTGGAGGGGGCATATGAAAGCAAGACTATAGATTTTGACTCTCTAAGTGTGGGGCAGAAGGGTAGCAGAAAGAGCAATGCTGCACGCCAAGGGGCAAGCACCCAGACTCAGGAGAAGTCCGAGCAGGGCAACAAAGAAGAAGAGAAACAAGGAGTGGAGATCAAGACCTCTTCTGGGAAGGAGATCCTGCAGAACCTCAATGATGAGAAGGTAAGTGATTGATACAGCACAGTCTATAGGATAGAGCCTTGGTCTCCCTAGTTATAACAATGGTGCATTGATTATTAGTGTTAAGTGGCATATAGCATTCCCCCAGGTGATGTGACACCTAAGGTATGTTCTTCTAGTCTCTGATTCCGAGGGAGAACATACCCCTCCTCCCAGCTGTATGTACAAGGGTGCATTCTGCATTGTCCATCCCAGCGCAGCTCTGGGAAGTCTTAGGACACTTCTGGCTTCTTGGAGTTTATTGTGTCTGGAATCTGCAAGTCGGCAAAGTTCACTCTGCATCAGATAGGATGCCTCCCACTACAGGCTGTGTGGAGCGGATCTTCCTTTCAGTTATTGTCATGCACAGACTTATACTGACACAGCAAGGGAGAAAGGCACACAGTCTACTCTACATGTATCTGTATCACTTAAAGTGGAACCCAAGTGCAGCAGTATAGCAGTTATCTCTTCAGCTCACTCCTTTAGATCTACCAACAAGTAGGTAATGCAAGGACCTGATTGTTGGATACAAATTGGTTGGATAGATTAGGTAGGTTATTATGTTACAGAGTTTTGGTACATCTAAAGTTGATCGTACATAGATTGTATGGCCAGATAGTAACGTGGATGGTGACTATTGGTTTGCCCTCCTCCAGTGCTGACAGGTGGGCTCGGTCAGTGCTCCATCAGCACCACTACCATCTTCTCTGATGCTTCTCTCTTTCGTATCTTATGTCTCCTATCTTTAGCCATTGATGATGGAATTCTTGCACATATAATGTAGAGTGAAATTATCCTGACACTGGCTCCTGTAAGATGCCTTATTGTTTCTTGTACCGAAAAACTCTACATCATAGCAATGTTAAGGTGGCCATACACTTTACAACCCTCGCAAGACTTTTGTCTTTGCGAGGGCTGTAAAGTAATTAAAAAAACGTACGATCTGCCCATCTTGGACAGGCAGATCGTACTTGCGATCATCGCAAGCCTGCCTCCCTGAGGGGCGGGCTTCCGATGACTGCAATCCTGAACGAGCAGTGTGCGCGTGCGCACATCGGCCCGTTCGGCAGTTATCTCTCGATCATGTGAAAAACCAGCCGAAAATCTTACAATTCTCGGCTAGTTTTCCAACATGCTCAAAATACAAAAGTCGTGCGACCGTACAGTAGAAACGGTCGCACGACTTCCATACACTGCGCGATTATCATACCATCGCGGGATTTCCCGCGATTCTCGTACGATAATCATGCAGTGTGTGGGCACCTTTACTTTTTTTTTTAGACATTAGTTCTGCTTTAATAATGGGCGTGATAGATTAGATAAATGATTTTCACCTGTTGGAGATACAAAATGTAGGTAGTCACACATAGATTGATAGATAGATAGATAGATAGATAGATAGATAGATAGATAGATATATGGGCGGATGGATGGAGGGACAGGCGGTTGGATGGATGGACAGACGGGCGGGTGGATGGAGGGACAGGCAGAGAGATAGATGGATGGATGGTTGGGCGGATGGATGGCAGGATAGATAGATAGATAGAGAGATAGATAGATAGATAGAGAGATAGATAGATAGATAGAGAGATAGATAGATAGATAGAGAGATAGATAGATAGATAGAGAGATAGATAGATAGATAGAGAGATAGATAGATAGATAGAGAGATAGATAGATAGATAGAGAGATAGATAGATAGATAGATAGATATATAGATAGATAGATGGGTAGGCGGATGGATGGAGAGACAGATAGATAGATAGATGACGTAATAACAATAGCTGGGCACACATTACTGAATGTTTAACAGTAACTCAGTCAAAAAAAGTATAGAAATGTTAAAGTGGACACGGTATATTTAAAATGACCATCGTACCAAGGTGCCCTTTGTTCTTGTAGATGTTTAATGTTATATTGACTGCTTTTAGGGCTCAGGTCGTTAAGAGATGGGCGGGCAGATGTGTATGGGAGAGGGATGGGAAAAAAAAAAAGTTAGCTGTCTTGGTGGGTCAGGAAGTTTTCTCTGACCCACAGAGCAACGCACACTCCCCCTTTAAGTAGCGTCCAGGGCATGTGCAATACCTGTATACGCCACTGATGTCTACAATAATCCAAGTATCCATCTTTTTTAAGTTCACCAATTCAACAAGCAATCCATTGGAAATAATCACAATTAGACAGGTGTGTGTATATGCAGATGACAAGAAAAGTATCAATACACTCGTTTACAAAGTTGATTGTTTTGCTGCCCATACCTAGTATATGTTTTATCAGACAGATGGTGTAGACATTGGGGAGAAAGTATATGTTCGGGCCTTCACATTTTTTCCCACCACACAAAGCTTACTACTTTTATATTAAGTTAGCTAGAAATCGGTTTGAGGAAAGGGGGTGCATCACCGCAAAACAACGCCGCCCGCCGTCTGCACACGCCGTCCATTCCAGGCCGACGTCCTCGTCATCGTATCCAGGTCAGTAACCCTCGCGGTGCCGCCCTCAGCGAATCTGCCACTCCAGGCAAACGCCTTGTTTGCCTCACGGCAGATACGCCCCTGGGTACAGAGGGTGTTAATCCTCAGAAGTAGGGATGCACCGATACCAAGTACCGTACTCGGTACAAGTACAAGTACATGTACCGATACTTTTCCAGCTCCAAGACTAGACTAGAGAAAATATAAAAAGTTAGGAGGCAGCTGTCATTTGTAAGGAGCACACAGAGCGCCTGGGATTTGTACATCTGTTTTAATGTATGATTTTGTTTTTATAAATATAAATAAAGTGATGCACCAATACCAGTTTTCCCAGTACAATAACTGATACTTGCCCAAGTACTCACTGATACAAGTACATTTTTGTTTATTGTCATGTGACAGTTTTTCTAAAACAATATCGACTAATGATTTCAGGACAGTGGTGGAGCTCCAGAGCCAGGTCCCAGCTGCAACCTCTGCAACACTGGTAGTTCTCATGAAAATGCCAAATATTGGCACTGGTATCTGAAAAGTATCGGTGCATCCCTACTCAGAAGTCTTTATAGTGTCCAGGAAACATGAGCCCACCTCTCCTTTTTTGTTTGTTAGGTGGTCTGTAATGTTAAAGGCCAAACCCTGCGCACAATTTACTAGAGTCAAAGCAGTTGAAAACTCTTTTAAATCAAAAGCCACCTCCCGTGATGAATGCTGTGCAGGTGGAAGTACAGCTCCCGCTGTAATTCTGTGCTCGCTCAGATGTAAGTGTTGCAGATCTTATAGAAATGAGCACCATTGTCACGTCTCTGCCTCCCTCTCCTCCTGGCTACTCACAAAACCATGCAGCTAGGAGGAGAGGGGGCAGAGATGCAACTGCAGCACTAAAGTCTATGAGACCTGCAGAACTTACATCTGAGCAGGCATGGAAGTACAGCAAGAGCTGTACTTCCACTTGCATGTAAAAAAGAAGATATGAGTGATTTAAAAAATACCGTTCATTGCGGGAGAAAAGTCTTCAACTGCTTTAAAGTGGAAGTATACTGCTTTGTAAATGTTTTTGTTTTGTCCTAATGTACAAGGATACACAGCATACGTGCACATTAGCGCACATTTATCTTACAAGCGATGTCGGATTGGTCTTTGCTTCTCATCTCTATCCCCTGCCACCACCTACTCCCAGGTTCTTGGATGTCCTCTTCAGCCATTGAGTGACCACTGATGATATACACAGGAGTTAGACCCTCACCATCTTAGAGATGCTGTGAATGGACTGACTGTGTAGATTTTTTTGGGCAGAAGAGACTTTGCATGTGCCTACCTCCCAGCACTTTTTATTTTGTTTACTTTACTTCTGCATTAACACAGTTATGTTCATTGTACTTGGGCTTTAAAGGTCACATGACACATGGGGTGGAACTTGTACAAACGGAAATCTACATTTAGTTATGCCCAGAGCAGCATAATATCTAGATAGGGCACCAGAGCTCTGTAAAATGTTAATGTTCTAAAGTTATTTGCTGCATGGTCTGTAAGTAAAGGATGAATGTTTCGTAAAGAATATTTCAGTGGAAAAAAAATTGAGTTTTCTACTTTTACAAAAAAAGTTGTTGTAGAACCAAGAGCGTGCATCCCTGTGCCCTGACTGATCAGTGTTTTATTGACACTGAGCAGCATCAAGGCTTCTTCAAGACACAGCAGCTCCAGCTTTAAGGTGGCCATACACCTGCCGATTATCGCAGATAATCGCGGGAAATCCCGCGATCGTACGATAATCGGCAGGCGTATGGAAGGCGCGCGACCGTTTCCACTGTAGGTCGCACGTTTTTTGTCTTACGAGCACGTTTGAAAACCAGCCGAAAATCGTAAGATTTTCGGCGGGTTTGTGGCGTGCTTTAGAATCACATTGATTGCAATTGGTTTCTGAGGTCAGAGTCTTCCTCAAGTCTTCAGTTGAGAACTCCTGCGAAATATTGGATTGGCAGTTGTCCAAGAGTGATGACCGCAGCTGCTTGGCATTGTCTCCAGTACAAAGAGTGGTTATGTGAAAGGGTCTGCCGAAAGAATTGTTTTCACAACTTCTCCACAGCAACCAATCTGGTTCTTCCTTCACAATATGGGAGAAGCAATGGGATAAGGTGATTGGTTTCTATGGGATAAACCAGCCTTCCAGCTTAAAACTAGGCCTAGAACGTGGAAAACCCCTTTAAGACGATGGATTTTCAGTGAACTTTGACTTACCTGGAAGTGATTTTATGTTAATTTCATGTCATGGTCAAATTTTAGCATGCTTTCTGTTCCTTACTTTGGAAGCATATATCAGGCAATGTGGTTAGCATCTCTGCTGCACGTCTCATGACATAAAAGCACTTCAAAGCACACAGAGTGGAGAGAGAGCGAGAGTGGAGAGAGAGAAAAAGTGGAAAGAGAGGGGAGAGAGAGAGAGAGGGAGGCAGAACCCTTACATGTAGGTCCCATTCATACCTGATTCCCAAATCATGACAGTGCTAAAGATAAAGAGCCCTAATATTC